TATAGTTTGTATTATTTATATTTTTTTTTAATTTTAATTTACAACTATGTCACATGGCTTGATATTTATTAAGAAGTTATATACAATTTATAACATTAGAGATTTTTCATATAATAACTAACTTATTATTATATTAAAGTACTCTAAATTAGGTTTAGAGGACAATATTTTATTTCTTTAGAGAATTAATATTTTTTTTTTTTTAAAGTCGTAACTAACAGTGATTTATTAGAGTTAGATTGGACAGTACATATGATTACATGAGCAATTCATGTAACTAATTTTAGTGCTATCTAACCTCATATCTTATGAACCCACTTAATTTTATCTATAAGGTACTATTATGTCAGTACTTCTGCTCTGCCTAGGCAATAATATTTGCAAAGATCTATCACAAACTTATATTTTTATATTATCAAAGGGCTGGAATATATTATTATTATGGAAATATTGAATTGTTTGTATTTTGGTATAAATATTGTATCATATTTAGACTGCTAGAGTTACCTATTATTATTCAAACTTTTTGATTTGATGTGGGATCTCAGTAGTTGAATAGTGTACCACATTCAACTTTCATCTTCCATTTAACTATTTTTAACTACTCTTTAAATATAGTCTTTCCGAGACTTCTCTTGATTACTTCATAGTGGATTGCTCCTCCTATTGGATTGGTTACCTTGATAATTGTTTCTGAATTTTTTCTTCTAGAATCTGCTCCTGCATTTTTCTATCGTGAGTCTTGATTCAACATCACTCGACCTTGGTAGGGTAGGTCATCGTTTTGTGATAGCCATTAGTGATCGATAACGCATGTCTCCCAATATGTGTCTGGCCCATTACATCTTCGACTGGTGCAAGTGACCAGGATCTCCCAATCTTTCACAAGTGAGTTTTTGAGAAGAGGTGGATGTTGGCATCTAGATTGTTAGAAGTGGATCAATCGGTTTTTTTTTTTAGTCTTCATATATTCTGATTGGCACAATATTATTGTTGTGATAGGCACTAAAACTGGCCATAACCTGTGTGACTTGTTTGTGGGACCGTGATCAGATAGTAATTTTCTTTTAGGTAATATAATTTCCCATGATCTGTATATTGTTATGTAGTACAGTCTAGAAAAACCTTACCTAAATTGCATATATCATTCTTGAATGGAATTGAACCGGTATATAGTGGATGGTGACCTGGGAGTGCACCCACTGCACTATTGATCCACAGGTCTAGATAATTAATAAATAACTTTTATTCATTAGATTTATTGTTAATAATTTGTTACTATAGATTGTTTATAAACTATAAATTATTAAATTAAGGAAAAAGAGAAATAAGAAATTAAGAAAGAGAAACAATTTAAGACCCTATAAAAAAAGTTTAAAAAGAAAGCAATCTTTTTCTTAAAAGAGATTTGCCTAATTGGAATAGTCTTTTTGCTTATCTTATGTCTTGAAAAAAATCTTCTTTGTTATCACTTGTAGTATTGAATAAGTTAATTTAACTAATCCTTTATTTAAGAGAGTATAAGATTGAAATATCACAAGAAAAGTATTTAGATCTTAGTTTTTGCTCATTAAAGCTTTGTCATTATCTAAGAAGCTTAGAGAAGAGACAGAGATTTGCAATTCAGATTATTTATCTCTTAGTCTTTTGATATTATAAATGTTTTTCTTAAAGGACTTGAGTTTTTGAAAAATAAATATTTCTGGAACCTTCTTTTCAATCAATAATAATATCATCAATATGCATGAAAATGACCAATAAGAGCTTGTTTATATTATAAAAACTAATGAATTTTATGTTAGTCAATTACTTTTGATGAGAATTTGTACTACTTAAAATTTTGAATCAAACTAGAACTAAAGATAGGTTCTTAAAGGGGAGGCAGAGACAAAAGTCAATGTTCTTCACTAAGAAACATTAAAATTTTTAAATCAATAACTATAAAAAAATTATTCACAATTGTTCTTCATTATCCAAATTATTAATTTATAGCATTTCTTGACTTTTGTCTCTATTAAAGTGAAGAGCTATGAATCTTGTTCCTCAAAAAGAGATATAAGTAATTTGTAAAATTTTATATACTAAATATTTTAGAGACCTATTATTAACTGGAACAGGTAAAATTCTTCAGAAAACCATGAAAATAGAAGCTTTAAAATAGTCTAAACAGCTAGAAAGAGAGAAAATAAACCTTTTTATTGCAACAAAACCTTTATAATATCTTGTTTTAAAAGTTAAAAAGACCTTTAGATACTTTATAGTTAGTTTTATTTTTTTTGAAAACTTTCTTGTTATTGACATCAAAGGTATTACTTGACTTTACTTGATCACTAAAAGTCAAGTTTTTGAGTAAAGAGGTTTGTAAACAAAGAAAAAATATAAAAATGACTCTTGAAGTCATATCGCAAGTTGTTTTAATAAAGGTATTAAGATTTTATTAATAAATAAGTGAAAAAACTTTTGTAAACATCTTTTTTGTATATAGTTAAAGGATTAACATAAAAAGTTTTTAATTATCTTTTATAGTTTATATTATTTATAATTTATAAATATAACTTTAATTTAATATTATATAAGTTTATTAATTTTTTACTTTATTATTAAATTTTTACTAAATAGTTTTATTAAATAGTTTTATTAAATAGTTATTGAATTTTTAATAAATAGTTTTATAAATAGTTGATAAATTTTTAATAAATAATTTTAATAAATAGTTAATAAATTATTAATAATTTGTTAATAAATTTTTGATAAATTGATAAAAAATTTTTTGATAAATTTTAATAACTTTTAATAAATAATTTGTAAAATAGTTAATGAATTATTTCATAAATTATTAAGAATTTTTTGATAAATTATTGATAAATTATAAATATGTCAATTTTTATAATATTTATAGTCAAATTATATAGTTGTTGATTTATTTATATCATTAATTTATTGAATTGTTTATTTTGTGTTAAATGTTATAAGTGGTAATATGTTAAATAATTTTTTTAAAAATATTGCTTATATTATTTTAAGGATAATAATAAGATTTTATTAATTAAAAAATCAAAAAACTTTTGATAAATATTATTATTTATTTATCTATTTATTTACTTATTTTTATTTTATTTTTACTTATTTAATTGTATATTTAAATATTTTAGATTTTTTTTATTTAATATAAATTTTAGTTTAACAATTTAAATAATTAACAAAAAAATTAATTTAATTTGCTAATAATAATTCTACAATTCAAAATTATATTATAAAGATAATAAAAGGTATAATATTGTTTTTTTAGATTTTTAAATTAATGATAAAAAAAATCAATCGAAAGTCTTTTATAATAAACTATATACAGATATTATAAAAAAAATTTTTTTTGTTTCTATCTATTTGTGTTATGATATAATGTGATACTTGCATTATTTCGAACTGATAATAACGACTATAGATTTCTCCCATCTAAAACAGCAAAATGCATCTTCGGAATTGCACAACATAGTTAATTTACATTGTATTTAATTATGATGCGTCCAACGCCTTATTAGATTTCGTCACAATTTACACTAGGAAAAAAAGCAATTATATGTACCAGAGAGGACAAGCGATCGTTCGGCGACCATTGGTCCCTGAAATTTCAAAACATAACGGATGATTACCTGCTTGCATCCAGTTGCCTGGTCCAACGTGGATATCTGGGGAACTTTCCAATTTAATTTTTTGTGAAATTAAGTTTCTACACGTGATCTTTATCCCGGTGAAAATGTGTACATCGCATAAAAAAAAAATTTTTTTTTTTATTAGTAAATTTTGATTTTACAAATGTCTATCGAATTAACTCTAAAATTTTAAATATATAACCACGTGCTTTTAGCCGTCATACAAAATGAGTTAGAAGTTCAGGTATCTTTAAAATGTTCTTTTGAAGGATTAATCTGATTTTTTGCACTCGTTCCGAAAATCCAAACATATTAATACTGTTGCAGGTAGTTTCTCCATTAATGTTAAATTCATCGGAATACGGGCATAGTTGCCAGTTCTCTAAAACAAATTTCCATATTATCTCGTATAAGAAATATCCTACATCTTTTGAGTGAACGTATGGAAGCAAGCGTCCGACGAAATTTAATGGTGGGGGAACATAATTCGCCTTCAAACAAGCAAATAAAGATATTAAGATATTTCCGAAAACAACGTCAAGCAACCGAGAAACCAATTACCTTGCGCATCGCTTCAATTAATCGAATCACCGAGTCTAACTCAAAGGGGTATTTTTTCGAATTTTGATTGTCCGTCCTATACCAAAAAGAGATATTTGTGGCAAGAAGCGAACGAGCCAACATATCGTGAAGGTGTCTGAACGACACGCTATCTAATAAAAAGGAAAGAGGAGTTACTTTACGGTTAAATTTGCCGATCACCTCAAGTTGAGACATGGCATACCATTTGACAGGAAATCCAAAAATAACCAAAGCTCCGGGTATTCATTGAATCTCGATTGTAAAAAACAATCTCTGTCCGAGATATGAACACATAAGAAAAAAAAGATTAGCACAAGAACTCTTAACAATAACTGACATTATATCGTTTTACCTTCCGTGCGAAATTGGTTTTGGCACTATTATGTGTTCTGTCACCGAAGTGGGGGATTCCAGTGTAGTCAGCTTCTTTATAAGAAGTTTCGCGAGCATTTCGGTTTTTTTCAAATCACACATTAGCAAATCTGGAATGTTTTTAAATTTTAGAAATGTAAAAATCATTGTTCTCATGCTTTTAACGCTAAAATAATAAATATCTATCTAATTACCCGAGTTCATACAAAGTATCCTGAAGATTCTGCCGTTGGCCCATGCATTAGAAGCTAGACAGGAGTTCAATCCTGAGTTGCTAATTTGCAAGCCGATGTCAAAAGTTAAGGAAAAAAAAAAAAAAAAATCAAATAAATTAAGGTTTACCTAGGATTGGAACTCTTCAAATATATTAAAAATTCTTTTTTCCAACAAGCCGAATCAGAAAATTTCCTTCCTAAGTTTTTTGCCTTTTTTTGACTGAAATTGAAAGAATGCCACGTCGACGAATATGACTTATCGTTCGTACTAATAGCACGGTATTTAAATTTTTGCACCTGACGTCTAGATAGCAACTCTAAATTTGTCGAAAGTTTTTCGGAAGATCTCAGAGCGAAAGGCCAATTTCGAACCTTTTCTGAATTTAGCATTAATTTCCGTAGTATCAGATCGGGTAAATAAGGGAATGTCTCTGAATAATTCGAGAACGTAAAAACTGGAAAACGATAACACATGTTTGATTATTAATAACGGTAACGAAAGTGACAATTGAATTAGCATGAATCGTTACCAATATTTTCAATAATCGCCATTGTTTTGTTCCACTGTATATCTTGATGGTTAATACTCGATAATTGTAGTTGTCTTGCCATCGTGGCAAACCATGTGTCAATCAACGAATCGCAACACCCCAAGATATTACGTATGGAACTATTTTTCAATGCATGGGAAGATGAGAATAGCAATAACAACAGTAACCACCCGGAATTTGATAATTCAATTTGATCATCGTGCAAGCTTATGATATAATAGAATGTTCGTAGGAGATTACGGTAGGAGCTTCCTATTGCATCCAATATAAATTTGCTCATAATTTTATGTATTAATAATGAGTCACCAGTTAGATCTGATAGTTTTATGCTCGAAGTCTCCAAGTCGGTGACAATAAAATAGACCAGAGCTTTGTAAATGTTCATGTATTGAGTGCAGATCGTGTATGTCGCAAGTTCTGTCTCTTCATGCACCAGTGTCATTTCTATAAGACTTTCGACGGAAAGCCTGAAAACACAATATGTTGAAATGTCATTCGCGAATAAATATCCTCTTAATACATTAGCAGTCAAATATTTCACCTGAACACGTCCTTCCAATAAAAATCAAGAGTCGAAATCAGCTCGCGTACATTAATCATTCTTTCCGCCATTACTTGATCATCCGACGGTGTCGCCTGAAAGAGTGTCAATAACAATCCTTGAATCAACTTTCTGGCAACACTTTGAGATGACAATCCTATGCATTTGAGCACTATCAACCAGAAAGTTTCACTTTTGGTTTCTAGTCGATTGTAAAGCCTGAACGACATCTGATTAAGATTAATGTCCGAATTTCGTGTGATATTAATCACCCCATGGGCACTCATAACTCGATATTCTTTCATATTGGATTCTCGTCCAACGAAACTTTGATCCAAAAAGTTTCTTACTATAACTTCACTCAAATGTGATTGCGACACGTCGTTAGTGCACACGTCCATGATGCATTCATCAAACTGAACAACAATGAAGAATCGTTTGCATCAACAATGCTAGAAAAATCAAATGATCACCGTTACTATCAGAATCATCAGAACTTACCGCAATCGCCATCTGCTGGATTAGAGACGCACACTCCGTGCTCACAACATCGCTCAAATAGCTGACCATAGTCAAATCAATATCCTTTCCCTCAACCACGTATCTTTCGTTCGCCAAATCATCCAGCAAAATACATATTGGAAATACGTGAGGGATAACACTGTCGGTATCGGTGAACAACCACATCTGCAACCAACCGGGAAACGCTTCCCAAATCGATGTAATAGTGCTAAAGAAAAAAAAATTTTTAATTCAACCCTAAGGCACTTGATTACTGACGTCACTCTTAATACTCGTTAAAAGCTATACCCGGGCGAAGAGGTGCATGCAGAAAATCGTGTGACACACTCAAAGTAACACAACATTTGAACATTAGATGCCGTGAGACGACTCCAAATTAGTTCTTCCTGATCTTAATTGTAGGTAGGTAAATTACGCATTAACGTGGTCACATGACACTTAATACAAATGATTTGAAACATATACTCACTATTGGCTAGTTCCGAATGTTGTACTATCATGTTAATCAAATGTGAAACAATAAATCTTTCGCCAACTAATATGCATGAAAACAATTGTTATTCGGTCACGTGATCGGACATCTGAAAATAATGTAAAATTTTGGCGAAACTTAACCAAATTGTTCGGGCAAAATGGTATAACCCTTTTGTGTGTAGTTGAACGCAATTTTTAGATAGATGTCCAGTAAACCAATCAGACACTGTTGATATGCAACAAAATCGATATTTATAAGGAAGTCAAAAATCGAAAATGGGGCACTAATCAAAAAAGGAAAGGCGCATGTAAATCACGAAGATCGAAATACAAAGAGAAGATCATGTCGTAATCCTACCTCGATTCGCTTAGTTTCCAAATGGTAAACTCTATGAAAAGCTGACATCTGAAGTTAGCGGGACCATTATAATCCAAAATCCAGCAGAGTAGCCACAAAGAACTAGTTTTAGCAAGACTCTGCGAAATCATTAAAAATGCATACATTCACATTTACTGTTTTAAGTATTGCCACTAGCAAAGAATAAAACGAATGAATTATAAGAAATTCTTACGTCAAATAAATTTCGACATCGAGTCCTGTTGATTCTTGAGATACTCGTGTGAGAACTACAACATAACATCGGAGATGCTGGTTAATGCAGGTTAGACGGTGTAGTGCGAATAATAAAATATTTTTACCCATTGGTCAAATTTTCTGCGAATATTAAGTAGTCAAATAAAATATCTGCAAGTAGTTTTAACAACGGCGATTCCTTGTAATGTATGCTAAGCGCTTTCAAAAGTTCGTTCGGGTGTATGTCATCTGGAAATCGTGGCTGGTCTGTTTTATAAAAGTTTGTGTCAATATAAAAAAGACGGTATTTATATGCATAATATCTGTGACACCACGTGATCTTATCCCTCAAGAATGATCGTTTATGCGGCCTGGATTCGTTAATTCCTTATAGGCTTCGGTCTAACTCGGGCCAGAATAATTTAATTAATGATTCACGAAACCGACACGCATTAAAATAGGTGTTTCCAGGTGAAGCTCAAAAATAAATGGATTGTGGTAATGAAAAGTTATGATGCAAAAAAAGCCTATATAATTACCCGTTTGAAGCTGAATGATGTAACTTTCCATCGCGCTCAACAACCACTAAATGAAATTCGAATGTTATTGCAAGCGCGAACCCTAAATTCACGACCGAAAATCTTACATTAAAAACATTGCCTTGTTCACGTGAAGTGTGGCGCAGTCTCTCCAACTCCCGTAAACAGCAATCGTATTTTTTTCGATCTTGAATGATATCCCCACCGTATCCGTTCAAAAAAGTACGCAGAGTGACCGGATCCCCGGCATAACAAGAGGATATTGTCTTACCCAACACCTCAAAATCTTGCGCAAGACTCTGGGTATATATTCCATTCAATTGAACATACGTCGTGTCCATGACGAAAGTGTTCAGGAGAAAGTTGGAAAAAAATGCATCACCGTAAATCAGCACTATTTATAATGTTTCGAGATCAGGTCACACGTCAATATTCGTTCACGTGTTTCACGCACAAACACCCAATTCGTCTATTTTAATCACGTGAAAGCTAGAAGCAACATTCTATTCGCTTGTTTTTTATCACGTGAAATATTAACACAAGGTTTAAATTCGTTGGTGTGCATGTGCTTACGTACGTAACAGTACATCAAAAAAAAAAAAAGCCTCGTTAATACGTACTGTACAGTATAGTATATACTGTATATTTAATTCTGGATATTAAATGGCGTCATTGAAACTTATTTTATTCTTAACCATTTTTTTTTTTCCAGTAGCCACGACTATGTGGAGGTGGCTTTATTGCGGAGGTCAATTATACACTTCGATACACTCGTCCACGTAAAGCGAATTAGTAGTTTCATTACTTAATAAATAACGGCAAATTTTTTAAACAATAATTGGACTTTGGTAATTATAAAGATACACTGTATATAGGCTTGACGTATTGTCAAATTTTCAATTTGAAAATAAAAAAATTTTTTTTTCAAAAACAACGGCTTTACGGAAATTAGAAAAAATCAAAAAAAAAATTTTTTTAATGTGTGGATTTTTCAAACAAAAAAAAAAATATAACGCAAAATAATCATTTCATAATTTTTTTTTTTATTAATTAAAAAAAAGATTGTTTCTGTTTAATTAAATTAATCGAAATATAATAAATGATTTTTTTTGACTTTATCAAAGTGTTTTAAATACTTTTAAAGAATTTCAATAATTGCATCAAATATGCTAAAAAAAATTTTTTTTTCTGTAATTTTTTTAATTAAATTTTTAAAAACATTCTAAGTATAAGAAATTATCTCTTTTCACCTATCTTATTTTTATATACAATTTACTAATAATAATAAGATTATTAATTGATTATTAAAAAGCTTATACAGTATATATTTTTTAAAAAAATTCTATTATAATATACTGTAAGTATCATTTAAAAAGTTGGATTAAATAAATTACAACAAAAAAAAAAAAATAAAAATTTTTATTTATATTTTATTTACTTATTAAATAAAAATTTTTTGATTATATATTTAAAAAAATAATAATACTAAAATATTTACAGTATTCAAATAAAAATTGATATAACAAATATTTATTTTTTTAACTTATTATTATATATTTATAATTGATATTTATTGAAATAAAAATATAAACAATAATATAACTTTTTTCATTAATTTCTAGTTTTTCTTAAAAAAAAATTTTTTTTAATAATTTTTTTTAAAAAATAATAAGTTAGTCTTAAATCCAAAAAAAAAAATCCAAAAAAAAACAAAAGATATTAAATTATTATTAAGCTCTAAAAAATAAATAACTTTTTTTTTTTTTTTTAATCCGCAATCATATCATGTTGGCTTGTCTTTATTGAAAGATTGAAATAAATTTACAATATTTTACAGATTTTTACAAAGTGACCAATTCGTTTTTATACAAAAGTACTCTAAGTCAGATTTTGAGAACAATATTATACTCCCCTAATAGATTGATAATAATCTCTATCTATCAGAATAATTGTCAATAGTTTGTCACTATTGATTGCCCGAAAATCAATGAATTGCTAAATTAAAAAGAAGAAAGGAAAAAAATAATTAAGGAAAGGAGATAATTCAAGATCCATAAAAAAAAATCTAAAAATAAAAACAATATCTTCTTAAAAAGGATTTACTTGATTAAAATAGTCTTCTTGCTTTACTTGAACCTTGGAAGAAATCTTCTTTTTCACCATCTATGATATCAGATAAGTTAATCTAACTGATCTTTCATTTAAGTATGCATCAGATTGGGATATCTTAAGAAAAGTATTTAGACTTTAGCTTTTTTTTATTAAAACTTTATCATTATTTAAAGAACTTAAGTAAGAGATAAAAGTTTGCAATCCACATTATCTATTACTTGGTCTTTTGATATTATAGAAGTTTTTATTAAAGGACTTGAGCTTTTTGAGGGCAAACATTTTCAAAACCTTCTTTTTAATCACCAATAATATTATTAAAATATGTGGATATAATCAATAGGAGCTTGTTTACATTTTAAAAACTAATATGTTTCATGTCAGCCAATTACATTTAGTAAGAATTTGTGTTACTCAAAATTTAGAGTCAAACTGAGATAGGTAAAATTCCCTAAAAAACTATAAAAGTGATAGTTCTAAGAGGCACACAAATAACTGAAAGGGGAAAAATAAGTCCTTCTGTCATCAAAAACCTCTATATATCTCTCACTTCAAAAATTAGATAGGCCTTCAGGTACTTCACAGTTAGTTTTTCTTCCTTTGAGAACTTTCTTGCCATTGGTATCAAAGGTATTACTTGATTTTTCTTGGTTATTAGAAGTCAAGTTTTTGAGTGAAAAGGTTTATAAACAAAAAGAGAAAGAATAGAAGCAACTCTTGAAGTTATACTTCAAGTTGTTTTAAAAAAAGTATTAAGATTTTATTAGCAAAGAAGTATAAAAACTTCTTGTGAACAAGGTAAAACTCTTTCCGCTGATCCTCTGACTACACATAAAAAAGATGTTCGCAAGAAGTTTTTATACTTCCTTGCTAATAAAGTCTTAATACTTTCCT